GGGGGGGGGAGTCCCGCCGCGGCAGCCTCTGGGCAGCCTGGCAAGAGCCGCGGCTGCGGCAGCTGGGGGCCCGGCGGTAAGTAGCGGCGGTCGGAGGTCGCCTGCCGCCCCCGCTCGCACGGGGCCCGAGGGGGCGGCCGGCCTGACTGCGGGTCCCCTGCCCTGCCCGGCGCTGTCCAGGCCGGGGTCGGTGCTGAAGCGCGCTCCGGGTGCCGCAGCCGCGCACGGCGCTTCGGGCGAGGCCCCCGGGCTGGGCAGGGCTGGGCTGGGCCGGCCGGGCCGGCGCTAGGGCGGCGTAATCTCCGCGCTCCCCTCCCCGCGAGGCTGGCATTGGCGTCTTCCTTCTCCCGCCTGGCTGTGCGAAGTCTTCGCCCGCCCGCCCGCGGCTCGCCTTCCTGCTTCGCGCCTCCGCTGCTCAGACTCCCCGCGGCCGCACCATGTCCAGCACCTTCGCCCGCGCCCTCTCCGCCCGGCGATCCGCCGTCCTCCTGGCCGCGGTGAGCGCCGCCGGCTCGCTGGGCGCCGGGTTCCTCTTCTCCCGCGACTCCGCCTGCCACTCGGCCAGGACCAAGCGGCGCCTCTACCCTCCAAGGTAGGGCTCCCGGGGCGGCTGGGGATGCCCTTGAGGCGGCGACCCCCGGGAGGGCTTCCTCGGAGCTGGAGCGCAAGGCCCGGGGCGCCGTTGCGGGAGGACAGCGGTCCTCCCGACCCTCGAAGGAACAAGGTCCCCCTCTCGGACCCCCTGTAACCCACCCGCGAATTTAGGAGCGCGCCGCTCCCTTTTCTCCGGCGCCGCAAAAATGAGGTAATTGGGTTTGGCCTTCAGCTTCCCCCCCCCCCCAAAGGGACCCTGCTTTGCCTCTGAACGACCCCCAGAGAAAAGTGGGTCTCCTCAGTGCCCCCAACCGGGCTCCTGCCTTTCCAGACGCCCAGGGTTTGCTTCCTCTCCCCAGCGCAGCTTTAAGGCAAAGAGAAATGCACTTGGCTTATGCTCTGGAACCCTCTGCTTCAGGCTCCTTCTGGGCTGTTCTGGCTGCCTCCTCCGGGCTCTGGGCTCTAGGTCTCCCCCATCCCACAAGGCAGCATTAATCTAGGGGTGATTATCCTCCCAAGAAGGGCCCTGGAAGCATCCCCCAACCCTGAGCAAAGCCGGGCAGTAGAGGGGCCAAAACAGGGAGGGGCCGGGCTGCACTGGAGCCAAGCACGGGTCTCAGGTGCGACGCCAGCCGAGGCTTCTGGTGCAATTCCCTCTTCCTTATCTGCAAAGGAGGAATGGAGCCCAAGCCCCGCCCACCATTTGGGTTGCTGCTGGAAAGACCGGCCAGCTGCAGGCTGTTCACGGCTGAGAAAGAGCCTTGCAGGTCCTGGACTGGCGCCTGTGGTGGTTTTGGTTGGAGGGAGGGCACAGAAGAGCCCTCCCAGCACCTCCCCACCCCCCACCCCTTCCTCAAGACACCTTAGATTGAAGACTTCAAGGGCCCTTCAAATCGCCAATGAGGTCAAGAGAGAGAGGCTTCCTAAGCAGATTAAGGAAGGGAACTTAATGCGAGCATTACTCTGCTGCTGGATTGTGAATTAGGGTCACCACCATTGCTTAAGTACTCCACGTTGAAGTTAGACGTTCACCTGTCTAAGCCTCAGAGGAAAGGGCAAGTCAGCGGAGCGGAGAAGGTTCTCCAGCTTCTGAGCACCTTGCTTCAGGAAGCAGGAAGAGTGGAAAACAGGGCCACTCCTAGGTGGCCCTTCCCAGGACGGCGAACAAAGGCAGAGTCTTGGTGGAACTGGAATCCGTGTGACCTGAGATTGAACCACATTCAAGCACAGGCTGCTTAGCAAGCCAGCTCCTCCCATTTACCACTCTGGGCAGCGCACCTGTGCAGCTTGCAGTACAAGCTGCTAAACAACAAACTTCCCACTCTGACCCCAGTGAAGTCATTTGGTCAATTTGCTGTCTCTGTTCCTTATTTTTTTTGTTTCTGGTGGTATCTTTTTAATGTTTTTACTTGTGAGTCATTGGGAGTCAAACAGCATACAAATCTGATCAATATTTTAACTAGAATTGTCCCACTTAATTAGGCACCCTCTGCCTGCTAGTGGGCACCTCCCTTGCTAATGGCCTATACCAGCGGTTCTGAACCTGGGGTCCACGGACTGCTGGGGTCAACACAGCACAGGGGATCCACAAAGGCTTGAAGAAATGTTATGGTTTAAATCTTGAATTAAGTACTACAAAACGTATTTGAAGGAGGCCCATAGTGAAGAGAATCATTGGCCTAGACCAGGGGTAGGCCACCTTGGCTCTTTTAAGACTCATGGACTTCAACTCCCAGAATTCCTGAGCCAACATGGCTCAGCTTGGAACCTCTCCCTTTCCCCTCAGCATGGCTGGCTCAGGAATTCTGGGAGTTGAAGTCCACCAGTCATAAAAGAGCCAAGGTTGCCTACCCCTGGCCTAGACTAAGCAACCCCCAGGGGAGAGAGCGTGAAGGCTACAAAGCCTATCCAACAAAAGGAAGCTCTTTGCAAGCAGATGCCAGGGCAGTCCTCCTCATTGCTACTTGGGCTGATGGATCCAGAGTGGGGGAAACTCTCTGATGCAGAAACTTTATTAATAAACTTCTATTAATTGTAATGCCCTGGTGTCTTCCCCTGTGGTATCCAACCTGCAGCTGGTATCCAACACTATAGCCAGCACTAAGAAGGCATGG